ATTTTTATCATGGATATTTAGTCAATGATACAATAAGATGGGCACAAATTCTGCTTACGCTTTTCAACAACTATTTCCCGCTTGTCAAAATCATCTGAAACAAAAAACATAATTGATCATGCACAAGTTTATAATGTGAAAAGCGAACTAAACGAATTTTCTCAAACGCAACAAAGAACTCAAAATAAAGTCTTTTAAACTCAGGCAAAGTTAACCCTTTATTACCAGCTTGAGAAGTGTTTTTGTGCAAAACAATTTGATTGTACGCCTGGGTTACTGCGTTGGGTTCTTTCTCATTGGGCACCTGGTTGCCATGGATATCAGTAAAGGCGTCGGCTATGATCACGTGATTGAACTCCTGACCTAGTACCAACAGGACGAGTAGAAAACCGAACCTTTTGGAGCAATGTTGCCTGACCTGCATCTACAGCAATAAATGCAATTTATATTACATTAATCSTATGTTGAATGGAGCTATGCAACTGTAGGAAAACCATCTATTATTTGATCAGTTATTACTAGTGAGCTCAAAATTTATYAACCAAAGCCTCTCTAAACAAGATATGAAAACGACGCTGACTTGTTAGGAGTTTATATAACATTGATTTTTTCTAAGAGAAGTAGAAAAATGTTTGTATTTTATTCCATGCAATCATAAACGACCATACTGATCTTGCGCCATCAGACGCTACCAAGCTGACGCGATATGATTTCTATTCTAATTTGTTTTGAATAAAGCATATTGATGTTAAAYTATACCAAATGAAAGTTTCACTATTCAAATAGTCTTCTAATCAAATAGGTTTGACTGTACTCAGAAAAGAACACTTACCTTTGACTGGCTTCACCCAGCTGATGTAGCCTATTCTCTAGAGTCAGGAAGGACTTTAGCGTTCCTTTTCATAACATTACTTTCCGAGCACTGATTCGAAAAATTTAAGTGCAGTCAACAAAAGCCATTGATCTACGTCATAGTTATATATTATTCTGTTGTGGTCATACAAAAAGTAGTTTTTCTTTTCTTTTGAAATATTGTCACAATTGCTGTTTTGTTGTTTGACAATTGGACTTTAATACCATTAAGTAAAAGCTCTAGTYGTCTCATGGGTATTATACAACTCCATTGTACTTCTTTATGAAAGATGACCAAAAAAACTCAAACGTCATCTGCAGTTACTTAATTTAACTTTTTGATAGTGACACCTTTCACAGCTGAAAGAAGTTAGGACTGGGAGCACGAGATTGCGAGATCATAACGGGGCTTCTAGACTATCATGTGCTTTGGAATGCCAAATTGGACCACTTTGTCTATAATCATCAATATAACTAAAAAGCAATCGAGCGCAATATGGAAAAAGCAAATATTCATGAAAGCAGCCGATATACATACCGTTGACGTAGTATGTCATGAATGCTATTTGCTGTTGGATTGTAAGCTGTCTGCTTGATTTTTGTGAAAATCCATCTAAATTGTACGGCTAATGACCCATTTCATTTGAATCAAATATTCTCTTAGATTAAATTATGATTTTTTTCAGTATTTGCTCATTAGTCTTACTCTTCATGATTAACTGGAATGTTCCTGGCTCAGTGATTTTACAGGAAGGTCGATGTCTACGTGCTTCGTCAGTCACTAATTGCTGGATTTCAGTCATTCCCTCGAGATTTAAAGACAATAGATTGGGGCGGCCATTGTTATTAGTTTACATGTATGAGCAATACAATGGCAAATGGTCCCATGACGTCATCACGCCAGTATTGGCTATGTTGTTCCTATATCTATCTATCTATCTAT